TGTGTGTGTGTGTGTGTGTGTGTGTGTGTGTGTGTGTGTGTGTGTGTGTGTGTGAATGAATTTTGAATTTTTTAAATGAATTTTGGTAGAGGTTCTATTGGGATTATTTCGGTATAATGGTCATGGAGACAGAAAACGAAATAGAAAAGCAACAGAAAAAGATGAAAAAAGAGGGGAAATAAGAATAAAGCAGAAGAAAAGAGAAAGAAGATCACAAGACAACCTTTGAAGTCTGCCTCTACACCTGTAAAAAAGACAAAACAAAACAAAACAAAAGAGAAAAAAACACAGCAAAAATGTGTGTTTATAATAATAATTATAGCCTCACTGAAAAGTACACGGTATAGTTTCATTAAAAAAAGTATTTAGTGGAAACTCTACGCTAATCCAGATAAATCAATCTAATCAGATCCTTCTACACTGATGCAATACTGGGGGCACACAGCAGATGCAATGGTGGTTCAATGTCTTGCCCAAGGGCACTTTGACATATGATGGAATAGCGCTGGAACTGAATTGCCAACTTTCGCATTAAAGGATTAGAGAAACGTGTTAAACATGCAGGTTAGCAGCACAAGAGGGCCTGGATTGGACAGCCATGGGCAACAGCAAAATCAGTCACTCTGTTTGACACATGAAGAAAAGGACAACAGGTTTTAGGCTGGAACATGACCAGAGGCAACAGGTCAACAGTCTGACTCACAGTTTTATTTGTTTCCAACAAACCAGTCTCACTTTAACCTCTCAGGAGTTTCAGGAGCTCCACGCTTGGTGTTTCACACTCCACAGTCCTGAACCCCAACATTAGGGAGCAGTGGTCTAAGTTAGGAGAATGTTTTGGTGGAGAAAAATGTCTCAGGCTGCTGACCTGCTCCCTCTGGTCAGGTTCCAACCTAAAACCAGCCACAYTTCTATCAGAAAAATACTTCTTTATCATCAATTTTGTGTTTCAATGACATTTTAGAAATGGACTCATACCAAACTCATCCTGGAAATAATTTTTATTCTTGCAAAGGAGCAGAAGTTTGTACTTTTCAAGTCATGCAAACATTGGTCCTCTGWGGCAGTCCCAAAGAACAACATATGCATCAAATAGCTTGAAAGGTGGTCCTTTCAATGGTACGCACATTTCCAATTACTTTAGTCTAAACCAGTCACAGAGACATTGCCAGTATTAAAGGCAGGATCTATTTATTTGATGGCAGGGTGAAAGAGGGATYACTCYACATCTACACTGGATGGTGCACTTAGGGTTCAAGCTCTCAAATAAGAAGAATTATAAAGACGGAGAAAGCCAGCACAGGATTATTATTTCAGTAGCTATCACAAGTCTGTAGTATTCAGCTAATATCCTTAAAGCTTTTTATTACCTTTTTTCATTATGCATCAAACACATGGCAAAGTTAGATATTGTTCTACTCCTCAAGAGTGGGTAGAGCCTATTTGCTACAAGGGGTGGGGACTGTTGTCACTAAGGATATAAATGCACTTGCTCCAGGTTGTGTACATCCTTCTTTTGACAGCTGTCTTTGCTCTCAGCATCTGTAAGTTACCARRGATGACTTGGGTCATGAAGAGCTGTTTCATCACTCTGGTCCTTGTGTTTCTTTGGCGAGTGGAGAAAGGGGTTGAAAGCTGTAAATGTATGATAATTGATCCTCAGAAGGCTCTCTGCGACTCAGATGTTGGTAAGTTTAATTCTCTTCCAAGGATTGTTTAAGGTCATTCCTTGCTGTTTTCCCCACTTCTCTCTCTTTCTTGTAACTGAATTTCTCTGTGAACTGTAAAGACTCGACTTATCTG